AACAGACATAGATAGATTCATGACTAATCACAGAGTCAAAGGTTATCAGGGGAACGTGGGAATTTAGAGTTGAGGCCATGGGCAGAATAGCCATGGACTTATTGAATGGCACAGTAGGCTTCAGAGGCCAAATGCCTAATTCCTGTGTTTGTCTGTACGTACATATGATGGAGACACTTTTACATTTGTCACTGTAATATGTGCTTACACTAGAAAGGTTCAGCCTGTCTAGTGCTAAATAGTGCCCTTGTATAGCAGTTGGTATGTTACGCCACTACTAATTCAACAAAAGTATGTGTTTAAATTAGCAAACATTTCATGGTAGAATCATAAAGATTCTAGTGCCAATAATGTAAAAATTAGTGAATGTGACTCCTTTTCTCAGAGCTAAAGTTCAACAAGGAATAAAAGCTGAATGCACTGCATCAATATCCTCCTCAGATTTATTGCTGATTCAAATTACTTCTCCCACTTTAGTCGAGTACCCACTGGACTAAATTTGATTAACATATTCTCCGCAAAATAATGCAGACAGCATACTAATTAGATAGCGCCTGCTTTTTCAGTGATTCCAGAACCCAGCCAGCAATAATAGCACTGTTGATTGGCTGGGCTCTTTAGTTAGAGACCATAAGCAGGAGTGATTTAGCATCTCTTCATGCTATAATTAGTAATGATGGGATAAGATAGGAGAGCGTAGGCTCCAGGATTTTCATTGCTACATCAGAGGCTTTACAAGAGTTCAGAAACAGCAAACATATTCTGTATCCACATGAGTCGAGGAGGAGGTGTACTCATAGCTAATGCTCCATCTGATGCCTAATGAACCCCATCACTTCACTCTTTTCTGATTTGGAAGCTGCAGTCGAAGCACCCCCTCTCCTCAACAAAATCTTACCCATTTACATTTCTTCTTTCAGATACCCATGATGTGAATGCTGTTTGGGCAATGCAGGAGGAAGACAGTGAGAATAATGACATAACATCATTTGACTTCATACTCAGTCGCTAGCTCAGATGCCGACGCTGCCTGTAATTTAATGGATAATTCACGGTTAGAACCTCTACTTGGTGAAAGATGGGCAAAAGAGGCCTACAGCAAGGTCAGAGGGGAAGGATATTTCAGGTTGCTGGAAGGTGAGAATTTTGCTGCAGAGGACTCAGGAAAGAACTTTGATGGACAGCTTACATAAGAACACTGATGGGAATTCATGGCAAAATGTTTAGTGCCTTGGGTAGCCTGTGAGAAATCTTTTATCATTGTCAAGCAGCATGTAGGAAGCTGGCACTAACTTGGAACAGGTCAGTTTGCAGAGTTTGGAGCCCATCCTTTCCAGCATAGAAGTGATGGCCAAAATTCTTTGTATACTTGTAGATGCAACTTTGATACAGCATCTGACGGCCAATGTTGCACCTTCCATTGTAGCACTGCAGCAACTACCAGAAGTCTAACTTGTACCATGGAAGATCAGGCTAGCCCTGCCATCACATTTGAGGAATACAGTGTGTAAAGGGGTTTGAAGGATGCCGCAACAGTCTAGTAAGCTGTCCTCTTAACAGATTAATGGAATTGTTAAGGGGTCACCGTGGGGGAATTGGTGATAGCTGCATGGAGCAAGATCCGGCTGTCCTCTTTCACGAAGGTGGCATTTGTTTCCTACCACAGCTACTACACCAAGGCCCATGCTGTTAGCTGTCTGCTAGCCAACTTTGACATCCGCCATCCCTTACACAAGTGGGGCAGCCAGCAACCAGGCCTTTTAGGGCCAGAGAATATCCAGGTCATCCTCTAAGGCCATCTGTATCCACAGGCCTTCAAACAGCCAGGCAAGGGCACACAGAAGAAAGGCACAATGAGAATGCATGAGGCCGCTTGGTTTTCTTTTTTATGCATTCGGAATGAAGTTCACTTAGAAATTTGTTTTGACACATTTAGTTTGTGCTGGTTTTTATTTGTGCTTTGCAACTAAGCAGATGCTGTGATGTCCAATAACAAAAGGAGGGCGAGGGACTGTTGTGATTGGGGAAATTGGATGCAGTTATTGGTACTGCACTCAGATGAGTTTGCATGGAGAGCTCGGTCAGACAGCTTGTTATCTCTGTTATCTTCAC